ACACACACACACACACACACACTCCCCTTTGAGCATTAGAGGGAGCACCATTCAATGAGGCATACAATCGTACAATAGCAGCAGTCTGTAAGAACTTCATGCTTTGACCTCCTTGTTCCACCCAGTCAACGGGACATTGATACTGTGAGCCAGAAGATGGAACATTCCCCAGTTATGCAGTACAGTATGCCTACATGTGATTCGCAATTCCCTCTGATTTATTCACAGACACAACAAAATGCTTCTGTAGCCACATAATGTGAAACATCCTGTGAACAGCGGCACAGAGTTTTCCTGCAGACCTATTTCCTGTGGTTTTCCCTGTGCACATACACTGATAGAGGACCTATTGATGAGCAGGCTCACCATTTCAACTGTCAATGTGGGAACCTTTCATGTCAACACATCCTGAAAATTCAACTAATGTTGCAAATGGGAGAAAGGAGATATGTTACCTCCAAATGGTAGACCCAGCCATTAGGAGCAGTAAACCACAAGTTTATGGGTAAACCACAGAGATTCCAGTGCTGTTTACCATTTGTAAAGACACTTAAAGGAGTTTTGAAATGGTTCCGCTTCGTGACAGTTGCTGATGGTGAGAACAGCTGCAGTGTGTATACACAAGGGAGTATAGGACGGGGAGTCTAGGGTTGGAGGGAGCTGGAGCAGATGGTGTAGAAGAAGAAGGATGTGGACTCTTCAGACTTCTCTAAAATGAGAGGAATGCATCTCAAGTATACAACCAAGCAGCTTGTGGAACAACATGTTTCTCCCCATGTGTCCATGATTTACAATTTAACATAAAAGAAATCAGTATCTCATATGTGCTTGTTCACACAACTTTTTGTTCACATTGTATACATGATTTCTATTTTTAGATTTAATTGTTTTTATATTGCAGGTTTACTTTTTGCTTTTTTGATGTTTCCTATTTTTACTATGCCCATCGCTGCTGTGACATGGCAAAGTCCCCCCCTTGTAGGACTATGAAGGATAAATGATTATCTAGGACTAGCTCAACATCCTTAGTTTCTTTTTGATAGTGAAGCTGGAGTCACAATGTGATAGCGCACCTTATGATCGAGAGTAAAAAAGGGGGGGACTGACAAGTCTGAACAACTTGTGTCAGAGCTACTTCTTAGCCATCAACAGTTTATCCATGCAGATAAAAGCTTTGATGAATCCAATACACTGTATCCATCAGTGACTAGCTGTTGACCATAGTGGGGCATTAAGAAGATTCAAATATTTGTTTGGAGTTGCAGAAGACAGAAAAACGACTAAATGTTAGTAATTATTGACTTATTTTAGAAAGGTATAGGAAAAAAAATGCAATTCAATTCAATTGTATGTGTATAGCACCAAATCATAATATACAAAATCTAATGCCATTGTTGCTTCACTCTGAATGTTTAGATTAGTTTACCATTGCATGTTACACATAAGACATACATACCTTATAAGATTCTAATATGCTGATATTAACACATTTTAAACACATAGTAAGATAGGTACCTTATGTTATATTATTGAAGCCACAGTGTTTAAGAGATGAAGCTATGAATGGGGGGAAGTTTTTAAGTGTCTGATATTTTCAGAGATGACTAAGGCCATGGATCTTTATTATCCATCATTTTGCCTTTAAAGTTAGTGTACTAAATTATCCACGTACATCTTATTAAATTGTTGATATTGCTGTCTTTTAAAGGAATCACACTGTTGTCTCAGGTAAAGCTCATTGTTACTCTCCGCACATCATCATCAGCCAATAATGCCAACTTACTCATATGATGAAAGAAAATATGTGTAATTCCCCATATTTGTGTCTTTTATTTTAACATTTTCTGATCATTCAAAATGGTGGACCTTCCTCTTAATTTATGGAATTTTAATTGATGTCAGCATCCTTTTGCCAAACATGAGCACACTCAGTAATGTGAAGTATTTCTGTGGCCCTTTCACTCACTGTAGTGGAGAACAAAGATGACATTCAACATGTTATCAAGTCTCTCAGAGTTTTCATGTGATGCTGGCTCTTTCACTGATTCAGTCTCTGTTCTGCATCTGGGTGTACAATATTTCCTGCTTGTAGACCTTTGGGCTCTATCTCCGTGATACAGAGCTGAACAAATGGAGCTTTGATCGACCAGATGACTGATTAACACGTTCTCTGGTTATGTAGCTTCAAAACTGTGCAGCCATAAAGCTTTTCTGGATTGTCTGGAGTTGGGTCTCTAAAATTTTGTTTTTTAAGATAACTTCTTCTGTAATTTGTCCTGTGCTTGTGTCCTGTATTATATTTTATACATCTGCCTGAACTCTTTACAGAGTTTTCCAAGTGTAAGAGAAGTAGGTGGATTAAGTGTTAAGGCTTGAAGGTTGAGTCTCATTTCCGCTTAGTTTCCCAAAGCTGGCTGATGTACTGACATTGAAGAAGGGTTCAGACACTGGATTGAGTCATGCTAACTCCTCGGAAAGCCCTTAGTATGGGACAGATCCTGGGTCATGAGAATCTCATCCCAACTCAATAACTGCTCAGACAGTCTGGCTGCAGGGGTGAGGCCTGCTCTCAGGGGACCGTCCACACAGAAAGCTCAGATATTAAGATATAAACATGTGCATCGGAAAATTATTGCACTGTTTTAAAACTGCCAAGTACCGGGATTGGATCCCTCTTAGACATTTTTGATCTACAGCCCTTTTCCTGAAATACATTTTTGTACAGATTACTTCAGAGAAAAATCACTTACAGGTTTTGGCTTTACTCTGCATTTCCATGGGCCAAGATGCACACAGATGCAAAACCTCAAAAGCATCCACAACAACCACATAATGACAGTCACAGCATTGAAGAACATTTGAAGATGTCAGGCCACATATAAACTACAACTTTATCCATTTATTTCCAGCGACAGGCAGCTTTCACATGTATAACGTACAATAATTTATAGACAAGTGGTTTTAAAACAAGGTTTGAACTCTGGGGGGTTGCAAGACAGCAAGGGCATTTCAGATAATGTCTTCAACGTTATGTGAATCGTGTTCATGCAGTGGCTTTTGTCTTCAACATAATGTCCAGTACATGTATGCATCACTTCCTGTTTGTTCAAATTCTTTGTGAATGGGGATGCAATAACAATCATTTAAGTAAAGCTGAATTAGAAGCAACAATTACAGCACCATGGGGAGGTAAATACAGTATGCAAAATATGCTCTATGGCTCTTTGGCCATAAATGCTTGAAAAGACAGGTTTGATTTGATGGAAATCTTCCAAGTTATAACTTAAAATCTGAAAAAGTTCTAATAAGTTTAACATTATAAAGTGAAAATTGTCAAGAGATTTAATGGATAGACCTCTCAAACTATTTGAGCCATACTAAATCAAGGGAACATTGGCCTGTGCACCAACTGTTCTGTTTTGTTTCTCATGCCCTCGATGTCTATTGTGCCCTCTCTCAGTCTCTCTTTCTCTCTGGGGTGTTGCTCAACATTTGGCAGCTGGTTTCCATTAAGAAACTGTCAGGGAGGGGCATGACAGTGGTGCAGACAGTAAACTCAGAGCCCATCTAAGCTTCAGCCTTGGGGCACCTCTGATAACAGAAACACACACGGAGAAACATTGGGGAGTTCACTGAGATGATCACTCCCAAATCACCCATCATCATCAACACTTTTCACACAATCATTCGTGTGCATGATCATCAGCCCCATTACATTCTGTATTTGTACACACTAAATATAGCCGTACTAGCATGCAGCGTGTCCCAGCCGAAAAGAGAAAACCAAATCCGTCTTACTTTCAGCAGTGACTGTTGCTGTTCCCCCAACCTTGCGGCAGAAGCTGGATAGGCAATCACTGAGAGGATGCAAAGAATGCAAAGGCAGGACAGAGATTTAGCAGCCATATTTGTGTGTTTGCCCAGTGGACCACTGATCCCCCTTTCTTGTCTCTGTCAGCGTGTCCTGGCTGTGGGAAAACCTCTGGGCAGCTCCTCTTGCTCGGCTGCACCCTTTGGCTTCACTTTTCTGCTGCTCCGACCTCCAGATGCGGCACTGCGCTTAGTCCCAGCCTGAGCTGAGTCCTGTAAAACAAACTTGTGTGGACTTCCTCTCTTTCACTCCCTCCCTCCCTGCCCTGATTCCTCTCCCCCAGTGAACTTGCCTCTCCCCTGAGCCTGAGCCTAAATCACAAACAGATGGGAAGGCTTGGAACTGAGGGAAAGAGGCGAGAGCGGGAGAGAAAAGAGAGAAAGAATGACAGAGAGTCAATTGAGCAACAGAGGGCTTCTGTCTCTGGCAGACAGTGCACACATCCAAATGGCACCCAGACCACCACCCCCCTCCCCTGCCCACCCCACCCCCCTTGACTGGCAAAGTCAGATTGAGTGTTAGGTCCTCGTCTCCATTTGCAGGTCTGTGGTACCCTTTCACCTTGGGCCCCCCCCCCCCAAACACACACACACACACACACTCTGCTCGGCCATGGTGGGCAGTGGGTTTAAAGCTTCAGCACTCTCTCACTCTGTGCTCCACAGGCAGAGAAGAAACAGCTGCTATCCCGGCACAGCTCCTCCTCACAGCCTCAGACATGGGCTTTTGTTTGTTTTCCAAGGTCAGACCATCAAAAGCCGCTACATTTATGGCCATTATGTGAGACGCTTAAAAGGAAGAGCCTGACTGTCACACTTCCAGCACAGGCGAAGTATTGTCAGAGTCTAAAAACAGTAGTTTCTTAACATATGAATTGCTGGACACGGTGAAGGCTGATTGTAAGTTGTTGAAACTCATGACCCTGTGCAGACATCTCACACTTTTCTTTACTCCACAAAGATCACATTGTGAGCTGCTGCTCCAAATACATCCAAGTTATGTTGTCCCAGCCCATGGGACCATGTGGAAGTTATATGTCTCAAGTGACTAATAAACAGGTTGTCACATTCCAGTTCTTTTGGCATCTATGGCAGAGATGTCAGCCACACAAGAGCAAAACAAGACTTCAGGCTGTATTTATTATTTCAAACATTCGAAACTGAAATTAAATGCCAATCTTAAATTTGTGTGTAGATGAATATCAAATATAATGTTACTGCAGCTATGTTTTCCAATTAAAAAAGGATAAACACAGTTGAGAATATTTGTAGGAAGTGCATGTAAGTTTCAAGCCCCTGAGAAAAGCCGCTGGGGAAAGCATTTCTCATGTTATCTGAGAGGTGGTGTTGATACAGCAACAGAGTAACTGTCAATTTCCCTGGTATGCCTCTGGGAGCAGGTCATAGCCTTATATATCCTCTAGGACAGAGGTCACTAATAGGCAGCTCTGGACCCAGATGCCATCTTCTCTAGATCTATAACCAATACATCATTGAGAATTGTCAAATTTTGACTGAGCGTTTCTATTTCAACAGCTTTTTTGGTCTTAAAAGCACTAGCAGCCCAGGAAACTCACCAACCATTAGCATGCTTTGTAAACCATCTCATGTGCTACCACTCAGCTATTTAATTCTGTGGAATTTGATGAGCACTCTGACCAGAATTGGAGAGACAAAAGGAGAGTGAATAGACAGTGAGAAGTGAGTCAGAGAAGAGCAAGAAAAGTAACTTCACATGGCGTGCTCTATAAAAGAAAACATTGAAAACAGAGTTTGTAATCACGACTAGCCGTCACTGACTATGTTCCTAGACCATTGCAAATGTAAAAAGCATCAATATGAAATAACACAACACCACTCCAGCCCAGATTCAAAAGGAAGGAAAGGGAAACATCATTTTCACTTTTTATTTCTTTTGTTTTATTAGAAGTATTTTTTTAAGATCCACATTAAAAAAAACCTTTATTTTACAACTACATAACATGCACATATCTTTTATTAATTATTCATAATCCCTTCACTTCAATGTGAAAACGGACAATAAATATTGTTAAAATACTATTGCATTATACTTTCTTTAAATTGATGTCATTTGTTGACTACGCACAGACATAGATACATCTAATATGTCGATGCAAATATTTCATCAGTAAAAACATTCCATTGGAAAGTGGCAGGTAGATAACCCTACTTGCTATATCGTTAGCCTCTTGGAGTCTGTCTATTGGTCAGTGGATACAGTGAGCATATGCTAATCATTGTAAGGTAACTTTTCTCGCTGTTGATATAAGATGAGATTTTCAGTGAATTAAAACGGCATATAGGAATATCAAGTACTGATTAAAAAGTGCAAAACAAAGACGATATGAATACCTAGAAAGTTTGAATAGCATTAAATGACACAGACATATTTCATACTACTGAGCGTGCCCCTTTAGGGATTGCTAAAACCACTTATCAATATCCATCCTAAGAATAAGAAAGCCTTTATTGTGATTGAACAGGGTGTACAATAAAATTATATTTTCCTGTATCCCACCAAATATTACCATCTCTAATTTTGCCTGCATACTGTTCCCCATCTATCACCTGCTTATGAAAAGACTGTGCAACAATTTAACTGTGTAACAGTTAAATTGCTGTCCTTAACAAGTAACTGCAGACTTAAATTCTACACCTCTGAGGCAATTTCAGCCTTTCTAAAACACCTTCAGGCAATGTAACTCGCAATAGGACCGCATTTACCACCAATATGCAGATGTTAGGCTTTGCTGACCCACAATCTGTTTACTTCACCAGCTCACTGAGAGGGAGAGGACGTTTTCCCTTCTCCATGTTTGGCCCGCTGCACATTGTTATTCTCAGCACAGGCACAGTGAAAACAACAGGATTCACTCATTGACCAGGGCCGTATTCAGCGGGACGAGGTTTCACAACAGCAGCATGGTCTTCTCAACTTGTCTACAAAGGGATGAGATTTGTCTTGGGTGGTCTTCTTTGCAAACCCATTCAGTTAAAACCATTCATGTGATCTAGGGCCACTGCTGAAACTGGCAGCTGAGTGATACAGCAGGCTTGGCACAGTGCAACACCGCAATCTGAGCCAAAAACAACAGGTAGCGATCCAACTGCAGTGAGGAAGAGTGAGTATCACAAGATCTGACAAAAGTGGAGCACAACAAAACTTTATCTCAACCACAGAGTTACAGACACTTTTAAAATGTATTCGCTTTAGTTTGCCTGACAATATTCATATTATCATCAGGATAATTTCAGTACAATAAAGGTTGGGTCTTGTATTTTTAGTCCTGGTCATTATTCCTTTAACGGAATTATTTGCCATAGCACTTACATAGCTCCTAAGATTTGGGTCCAGAAACATGAGATGCGATCTAATAAGGTTTTAAACAACTCCCATGGTCACCCAGACTTATGTGGAAGACAATAAACAGAAGTTAAATATAACATTATTATCAATATAAATAATCCATCACATTTTGCTGACCAAAATCTTGGGAAATATCTTTTCAATTACAGTAGGTCTTTATCCAAATGGTAGAAATAATCCCATTTATTTATGCTCTCTTTAAAAAAACAACTCCAAACTTATGAGGGCTGTAGTTCAGGGGAGAGAGGCCTACCCTGAGTGGGCCCTGGAGGTCAGAAAGTCTAGGAGTTCAGCCCTCTCCCCTTGGTCTGCAGTGTCTCCTTACACTCTCCACACATACCAGAGAAAACTATAACCTCTATCACAACAAACACCTCCTCACTTTAATGCTACACAGTTGCTGGCAGGGCTGAAAGCTCCCTGGGAACAGTGGAAGTACAACTTTGAAAAGACAAATGAATGTTAACTTTTGACATTAGATATAAGTTGATATTATATATGTGTAAAGTTATAATTATCATGTGTAGGAATGGAATAATTTGCATTAACATACCTTCTACAGAAATGTAGTTCACATACCTCAATAAATCAATCAATTAAATCTTATTTGGATAGCCTTTATTCACAAATCACCATTTGTCTCATTTGGCTTTTAACTGTGTGAAGAGTGAGGAAAAAAAGTGTTAACACAGGAAAAAAAAACATGGAAACCTCAGTGAGAGGGTCCCTCTTCTGGGATGGACAAAAGTGCAATAGATGTCATGTGTAGCAACAGTATGTACAACATTGATGACAAAAGAAAGTGTCTAACAAAAACTGAGAGGTGTTTCAATGTTTTAAGAAAAAGACTGACAGAGATGAATGGAGCAGTAATGACAGTTGTAATAAAAGAGGTATTGCCAATTATGGTGTATGTATGTGAGCAAGCATATTGTAGATCTATGCAATTAAGTTGAAATCACAATCCACAATCAGTTGTCACTACCATTCACAATCCTGATCCACGATTACGATCAGTATCCTGATCCACCATCACGATCAAAAATGCAATGGTCAATCAGATGCGCTATCAATTTCATAACATTCTGACATTGGTATTGCCTTAATTTTGAGAAGTTAGTAGTTTGAGTTTAAGATAGAAGTTCAAAACCTGCCCACTTTCACACCTCTCCACACCAAGTCACTGTGGTTGTCCACTTGTTTGTTTCTGAAAATGCTAAATATTGTCGAACGCACACCACCAGTGAATTCCACAACTAAAAAAAGGAGCTTCAGATGCAGTTGGTCTATATGGAGAGCACGTACAGGAGTTTGAAGCTCACTTACACCATGGCATGTTTAGATAGCACAGACTCTGCACTGAATTGATGCTGCAGACCTCATTGATAGTCAACATACTTCCAACCAAGCTACATTTCACTTAAATGGAGCGACATCTGCGAGCTAGTTCCGGCAGCCAACTGGAGCTGTGCTGCTCCCATCATCTGACATACACCATGTGACATACCTCACTCTCCACAATCATCTATAATACACACCCACCTTATTAGGCAGCCTATTTAAACAGAGAAATGTTCCCATCACTCCTTTTTCTTCCCCTTGCTGCTGGGTCAGTATCGCTACCAGTTGCTTCAGCCCCTCCGCCCCCCCAGCATCCACCTGTAGGCTCCAACTAGGGGGTTACAAGTATTTTCTCATCACTCCCATCATACATAGTAATCATAACAGGGGGAGTGATTAAGTCAGAGCCTAGATGCCAAACACTAACCTGTTCTACTGCTGCAATGGACATTTGAACGTGAGTTGTCTGACTGAACTATGCTAATTCCTAAGGGAAGACAAGAAATATCTCCGGATTATGTCCTGCCTCTTTCTGCTGCCCCACCAATCAGCTGAA